AATCTAGGCCATGTGGCTTCGGTAGGAATGAAGGAATACAGTGGGAAAGGAAGGTTACAGCTATATAATCTACTGGCTTAAACAGTTGATTCATCTAGGAAAGTTTACACGGCTCTCGAGCAGGGGTTTTTAAGTCCTTTTGCACTGTTACAAAACTGAACATCCTGACACACCATGGGGAATCCTAATGAATCAACGTCAGGTAATCTTGGCCATTCTACAGCATTTATGGTACTATCCATGGTGTCTGGGAACCTCAAGTGAGGAGGACTAGCATGTCATTTTATTGCTGCTGGTACTATATCTAGGTCTAATTAATAAACCCTGCTCCATGAATGCTGAATTCTTTGAAGTTGCTGAAAGCATCTATGGGTGATGTTATGATTCAGATATCCACTGGCAAGTCAGGACTAGCAAATATTTTCAAAATTAGAAGCAATGAAATATTATACACACCTTCAATTCTTTTAGGAACAAGCCAAGAAGATTTAAAAATAAATCAACACCAACCCTATGAATATACTAAAACCACTAAATTGTACACTTTAAATTGATTAATTTTATGGAAGCTGTTCTTTTAAAAACCAACATGTTTTAACCAAAATATTAGTTTCTAGAAATATTATATCCTAGGAACCTAGCCATTGCCCTTAAAATGTTTATACTGTTGAAAAAATTTGCAAAATGGAAGGCCCGCTAAAGTGCTATGACAAAACCATTATCATTTTAGCTATATAAAAAAAATAAACTGAATGTCTCTTGCCTTTCACCATAATAAAAGCTGATCTGTATCACACATCAAAATCTGCCTGTAAGCTCTGAAAGACATTTTTTAAAAGGGCACTTTTCAGATTTAACCACTATGTTGAATACCATAATTATGGCATGTCACTAATACATCTTTCCTAGTTATCTATCCCAGAATTTCCTTTCCTATAATCCTCTGCAAGGGAAAAATTCTTGTGTTTATCCATTGATATTACTTCTAAGGATTTCCCTCTTCCTCTAATAATCACCACTCAAGCTTTTATCTCTAGAGTCATTCATCCAACACCCCCATGTCCAAAACTGCTCCCTACCTTCTACTAATACCATACCAGCTGTCTGCCTGCTGTTGAGTAACAGCAGGTTATTTGTGCCCTTGGAGATTCAAAATGGGTCAAGAATATAAGAAGCAGACTGTAAGCCCTTTGAGGGAAAGGATTGTGTATTGTTTGTTAGAATCTCCCAACACTGAGCAGAGTACCTAGCACCAATATTTTTGCCCACCATTAAGCTAAAGTCCATTCACAAAAAGAATTAGCCAAGTGACCAGATTATTTTTAGGCATAATTGTATTTAGGAGAAGAAAGCTTAAATTCAACTTTACTGTGGGTGTCTAAATCAGTCTGTCTTTATAATGACTAGTAGGTAAATTTAAAAACATTATGAAAAAGCTATGACCGAAGCCCAAAACATTACAGTTTAAAAATCATACTGTCTTTTTTTTTTTCCTACAAATGATTCTTGGCAGAAAAAAATAGACCCAAAATCCAAGAGCAATTTATTTATCCAGTCACTTTCTAGTTAACCCACCTGCAATTAGTCAGGCAGCTGAAGGATGGCCTCCTCACAACAGTGAAAGGGGCAGGGTAACTATACAAAGTAACTAAGGAATGTTTACAGATCTTTATCTCTTCATGTGAAAATGACTCTGATATTTCTTAGTAGCCACCTCGTACATTTAGGGATTAAATGAGTTAATCTGTAAAGCACTTAAAACAAACAGTACCTGGCACATAGTAGGTTCTATATAAATGTTTGTTAATAAAGTAACTTTGAATCAGCTTTCAACTGCATACATTTATATATTAGAGATCTGCAATCCCTACAAAAAGTACCAGGTTTAGAGAGAAGTTTCAACTGTGCTGTTTTTAAATCTGGGGCTGGAAAGAAAGGGGTCCCAGAGAATATTTCATGTAAACTCTTCATGGGTGAAGAAATTAATTGTATACCTCGTAGAGAAATTCACAGGTTACAAAATGCTTTCCTATTTATTATTAGGTTTAATCCTCACAACAGCCTCCTAAGAGATGCAGGGCAGGTATAATTAACCCAAATGAGGAAACTGAAGCACAGAGAGGTTAAAGACTTGCCCAAGGCTACACAGCAAGTGAAAAGGTCTGGGGGCTAGAACCCAGTTCTCTTGATGGGAGTCCAGAACTGTTTTCTCCATATAACATGCTGCATCTTGGGCCCTCAGCTTCCTTGGGTCACTTTTGGAAGCAATAATTCTAGAACCCTAAATGGAGGTTCTACTGCAAAGGGAACTTGAAAAGTTAAGGCAATTCTGTTAACTGTAATTAGAAGTAATTGATAGCTGGCAAAACACCTACTTACACATGAATTACAGTAAAAAATGCCAATGATAACACATTCACAAAGGGCACCACACACTGCTCAAGGCAAATTTTCAGAACAGTCTTCAAAGGGACAGTTCTCCAAAATATGCCATTCAGCAATTACCAGACCCAGAGAATACTGGTGTCAATATTACAAAGAAAAAGATGCCACTTCCCTTTAAATTAAACCCAGAAGGAAAAGGCTTGCCCCAGCAGATGGTGAAGACATGGAGCCTAACAAGGCACTAAGGGATTACACGCAGGTTGCAAACTCCCAGCGACAAATGAGTACGGACCAGCCCATGAATCAGCTCGCATTCATCCGGCTGCATCATCCCCAGGGGCTCACCATCTCAGGGCAGCAATCTGAAATCGGCCAGCTAAAGGTGACAATCGGCTGGCGACCGTTGCAGGATTCCAAATAATCTGACAGAAAGGTTGGCCGGTGGTAGAAGTGGCAACGCATACCAACACTAGACATTATTTTAAGCGCGTGTCCCCAAGGGAGGGACCATCTGATCGACCAGAGAAGCATCTTCCACCAGCCAGGATTTTCCCTAAAGTGAGCCGGAGGGCTGGGCAATCCTGACCCAGGCCCACCCTAGTAAATGCACACAGGTCCCCTTCCCAGAAACATGCTCTCTGCTCCTTGCCCAAGACGCCTGGCGGGGGCCACAGAGACCCCCGAGGCCGGCCTCCCTCCACCGCCTTCATCCCCATCACCGCCCGAAAGAGGAAGGCGCCGTGGCAGGCGGCAGGCGTCCGGGGCCGGGGATTCGGAAATACTCAGAAGCGGGGTGGTGCCAGCCGTCCAGCCCTCGCGCC